CTTTGTGAGAATCTCCCATTGTGAGAAGAACCATTGTTGAAATTGTCTGAGATTATGAAAGAGTTTGAAATTGTCTGAGATTATCAAAGTGTTTGTAGCAGAGAGTGAGACGATTGTGGATGCAATAGAAGTATGTGAGGCTCTGTATTTATAGGAAAAATTTTATCAGAGTAAGTGAGGTGGTTGGTGGGTGCATGCATGTATGATAAGTGTCACTCTTGCAGTGTAGGTGCAGGCTAGGTGGCAACCTTGGGGAAGGCATCTCTGCATGCATGTAACACGATTGGACGTGAAGGGAGGCGTCATTGGACTTGGCGAATGAGTACAAAAATGAAAGGTGTCGCCATCCCTGTTGGCGAATAAGAGGTGGCATGGGTTGCAGTGTAGGTGCAGGCTAGGTGACAGTCTTGGGGAAGGCATCTCTGCATGCATGTAACACGATTGGATGTGAAGGGAGGCGCCATTGGAATTGGCGAATGAGTATAAAAATGAAAGGTTTCGCCATCCCTGTTGGCGAATAAGAGGTGGCATGGGTTGCAGTGTAGGTGTATGCTAGGTGACAACCTTGGGGAAGGCATCTCTGCATGCATGTAACACGATTGGACGTGACGGGAGGCGCCATTGGACTTGGCGAATGAGTACAAAAATGAAAGGTGTCGCCATCCCCGTTGGAGAATAAGAGGTGGCATGGGTTGCAGTGTAGGTGCATGATAGGTGGCAACCTTGGGGAAGGAATCTCTGCATGCATGTAACACGATTGGACATGAAGGGAGGCGCCATTGGACTTGGTGAATGAGTACAAAAATGAAAGGCGTCACCATCCCTATTGGAGAATAAGAGGTGGCATGGGTTGCAGTGTAGGTGCAGGTTAGGTGACAGCCTAGGAGAAGGCATCTCTGCATGCATGTAACACAATTGGATATGAAGGGAGGCGCCATTGGACTTGGTGAATGAGTACAAAAATGAAAGGTGTCTCCATACCTGTTGGCAAATAAGAGGTGGCATGGGTTGCAGTGTAGGTATAGGCTAGGTGGCAGCCTTGGAGAAGGAGTCTCTGCATGCATGTAACACGATTGGGCGTGAAGGGAGGCGCCATTGGACTTGGCGAATGAGTACAAAAATGAAAGGTGTCACCATCCCTGTTGGCGAATAAGAGGTGACATGGGTTACAATGTAGGTGTAGGCTAGGTGACATCCTTGGAGAAGGTATCTATGCATCCATGTAACACGATTGGACGTGAAGGGGGGCGGATTAGAGGTTGCTTACTATTGGTTTATTCAAATTCAGTACAACCTATTTAATCCTACATTTATCAAAACACTCCTACACTTAATCACCTAAACACTAGAACATTCAAAAATTCAAGCAATTAACTCAAAGACTTCAAACCTTCAAACCTTCAAACCTTCAAACAGTCATACGCAATGGCCTCTGCACCCCAATATGTGATCAGTGCACATTTCAACGGTAAGACATACATTTGTCCCACCTCTGGGTTTTTGTTTAGAGACACTGAGAACATCTGATTTTGTTTAAACAGGAAAACCAATTTCTTGTATTTCAAAAAACGATTAGAGGTCAAACTTGGACGAGGTCCCGTGACACAAATATTTTATCAAAATCTAGTTTTTTTGGTAACAACCAAATAATATTTTATAAGGTTGAGGTTCAAGATGACGAGGACCTTAAGAATATGTTTTCCAGTCATGAGTATTCTGGGTACGACTCTATTGAGTTGTACATTATGCTGCGAGAGCCTCAGCTGTCACAAGTGGTTGATCCTCTGGAGACCGAACAAGAAGAAGTATGTCGTTGACGAAGAAGAAGAAGATGATGAGATGGAGTTTGACGACATGGTCAACGGTGATTCCGAAGACGATGGGATACCTGGTATACCTTCAAATGAGATCTACACACCACCTCCGCACATGACAAACTTCAACATGAGAGGAGATGAACCGTCATCTGATTTATTTTTCAATCCGTATATGAAGTCGGATGAAAACTTAAAAGAGAAAGACAAATTTCGTAATAGCGAAGAATGTATCTGAGCCATAAAAAAATTTCAAATGCTCAACTCGGTCGATTTTAAGGTACACTGTGTAAATCCAGAAAGGTACAAGATCAAGTGTATCCACCCGGATTGTATGTTCAAGCTCATTGCATCATACATATTAAGAGGTGGTTGTTGGGTCATAGGTTCTATGTCCACCCACACGTGTGTCAGTTCTACTCAATCACAGGATCATCATAAACTAAATTATGATCTCATATGTCAAGAAATCCTACCCCTCGTCAGCAACGATCCATCATTGAAGTTGAAAACCATAATCTCCCATATCATTACGGTATTTAACTATACCCCGTCTTATCGAGAGGCGTGGTTATCAAAGACTAAGGCGATTGAAAAGGTATATGAAAACTGGGAGGAGTCATACAAAGAACTTCCTCGCTACCTGAATGCACTTCAGACTTATTCTTCGGGTACTGTTTACATTCTGGAAACACTGCCAGTGTACGCCCCAAATGGTAGTCAACTCACCGGAAATGGAATATTTAGTCGAGTGTTTTGGGCTTTTCAACCTTGCATCACAGGGTTTACGTCATGCAAACCAATTATACAAATTGATGGGACTTGGTTGTATGAGAAATACAAAGGCACGCTACTGATGGAAGTTGCACAAGATGGAAACAATAACATTTTCCCAATTGCCTTTGCCCTAGTCGAGGGAGAGACTGGTGGTGCTTGGATCTTCTTTCTCAAGAATCTCCGAACACACGTGGCTCCTCAACCAGATATCTGTTTGATCTCTGATAGACATGCATCTATTGAAAGTGAATACAACAATCCTGCAAACGATTGACATGATCCTCCTTCTACGCATGTCTATTGCATTAGACATATCGTCCAAAATTTCATGAGGGAGATCAAAGACAAAGCTCTTAGGAAAGCCATTATGAATGCAGGATATGCATTGACACAACCTACGTTCAAACATTATCACAACGAGACCCGTTTGTCAAATCCGGATGCCGGTAGGTGGATCGATAACATTCTGGTAGAAAAATGGACTAGGTCATACGACAATGGACAAAGATGGGGCCACATGACAACAAATCTAATTGAATCTATGAACGGAGTATTCAAAGGCATACGAAACCTCCCAGTAACTGCTTTGGTTAAATCAACATATTTTAGGATGGCTTTGCTGTTTGCCAAAAGAGGTGAAATATGGAATGCTGTGTTGCAATCTAGACAAATATGGAGTGAAAGCTGCATGAAGTATATTAAGGCAGAAAGTGCCAAAGCCAACACCCATCTGGTTATACGGTTCGACCGACACAGCCACAACTTCATTGTCAAAGAGACAATCGACCACAACGAGGGTCTGCCAAGACAAGAGTATAAGGTTATACTACCTTCTCGTTGGTGCGATTGTGGCAAGTTTCAAGCCTTTCGTATGCCTTACTCTCATGTCATTTCTGCGTGTGCCTATACTCATCAAGACGTATTACAACTTTTGTCTCCCATTTACAAATCTGAAACCATGCTCAACGTATACAACAACAGCTTCCCTTTGGTAGCAAAACTTGATTATTGGCCTGCATACGACGGCGAAATAGTATGGCACAATGATCAAATCCGAAGGAATAAAAAGGGTCGTCCCAAAAGTAAGCACATCACAACTGAAATGGACTTCCTTGACAAGCTGGAAAGAAAGTGTGGTTTATGTTGTCAGGTCGGACACAATCGCAAATATTATCCGACTCGGGCTACTGGCTCAACCACATAAAAATTGTATTACAAAACATCTTTACTTTTTTAAGTTGTAAACATTAGGGTTTTTCATTAACAACATTTGTTACAATAAACCTTGCGCGAACAAGAAATTAAACACGATAAACCGTTTACGAAATTACAACAGCTAAAATAATTTCATCTGACCCATGCATCATCAACATTACGTCGCTGTCTGTTTTGACTTCCTCCAACCAAAAATTAGGTATTTCTGTCGCAAGTGAGGTTGTTGTTCTTCTTCCCTGGATCCTTCTAATTTGTTCCTTATCCTCAATGTCTCCCTCTAGCCATCGCATCAACCCCCTCTTCAGACGCTCCATGGAGTGAATGTGTCAGAATTTCATTTTCATCAGAGATTTTGTGGCCGGGAAAATAACGTAACCATCTCTGGTAAAAATCATGGACGATGTCATGACGCAAATAACAGAGAAAAAAATAAGAGGACAATGCGAGAAAGTGTGAGGAATGACGGAGAAACGGACAATTATTTATAAAAAATGCATTTTGCCCTAGGAGCCAAGTGAGATGGCGCCTTCATTCACTTTTAAAGTGCATGTGCCATCTCACTTGGCTAAATGAGAGAGCATGCACCAAGTGAGATGGCGCCTAGGACAAAATGCTAAGTACATGCGCCAACTGGGTTGACTCCTCTCTTGTAGAGTTTTCTGAAACATGATTATTTACGTGATTTTTTTCGAAATATGGTTATTTACGAATGTTTTTTTAATACCTAATTATTCCAAAAAAAAATTCAAATATTTCATCCAAACAATAAAACTATATTACAAATTAAACACAAATACAAATGTGAGTAATTGAGGTAAATATGTAGCATTTGGATATATGAATATATGAAAAAAATTAGTGATTGCACATGACTTGTAAAAAAATTAATGTTGATCAATCGTACAACAACATAAAAAAATATGCATGCTTAAAGACATGTGCCCTAACTAACAATGTTTAACTTTTTCTATGTGATAACATAAAATAACATATAAATGTCTAGATTCAAGAGACATTTTGACGCATGCATCTCCATTTTGCTCTCATGCACACATATTTTTACAAAATTTATATAATATATGTCTCTTCTCAACAGATATAACATACATATATATCCATGGAAACATTTATATATAGTATTATACTACTAGTACTAGTACATATAAAATGGTAATTAATTTCATCATAATCTCTTCATTTTTCAAATATGCATATTCCAATATCACTGCAATCTGAGGTTGCATTTAAAAACTTGTTCCCTTCATCCCTACCACCTTGCTGCATTAACAGCAATGCCATATCTGAGGTAGGAATATTATTTGTTCCACCAAAACTTGAGAGCACTCCTTGATCAATTTCAACTTCATGACTGAGTTGAGATGCCACAAACTTATCAAGATCTCTCCAATCAGCAGTAACATTTGTAGTAATATTATTGTTGTTGGATGATAATAATAACAACCTGTTTTGATCATCGATATCATCGTTATTATTCTCTGATGATACTAGAGACACTGAGCTTGGCCTTTTTATTATTGGCAATGAAGGACTTTCAAGCTGAGGAAGCTGTATAAATTGTTCTGCATGCATGCACGCTTCTATCTCTTGCTTACACATATTGTAAGTTTGAGATAAATAGCTTTGAGGTTGCCTTGAAATAAGCTCAACTGGATCCACCATGGAATTGTTTACCCTACTTGCAGCTTCTTCATAGAAATAGCTTGTGTCCCATCTTTCCATAGTACTTTTTGTATTTTGGCTATTTGTTGCTCTTTTCTTAAATGCTCTACAAACAACCCATCCTTCCTCCTGCACAAAGCATATACTTTCAAGAGATGAAAAAGAGAAAAAGAAAACTTATTAGTGATTCTATTTTAATGTATGTTTTGCTGTCCCTTTAGCTTTTGCATACTTTTACATCAAGCTATTTCTTTGAAGAAGCTGCATGGTTTTGAATAAAGGTTGCAGTCCCGTAAAAAGCTTTTGCAATTTTGTTCGGTATAGTTGTTGCCACACTCATTGCGGTCGTCGCGATATGAAATAATCATAGTTTGTTCTTTATAATAAAAAAGGTGAATAACGGTATCAGTATTTACACATTTCGATATAGTTTTGTCGCGGCCGTTTTCGCATTTATAGACAGTTTTTGGAAATGTTGGTAATAGTATATAGGTATAGTCAACTAATTAATTACAAAGAGGCTTACCTTTGACTATGAAAATGGAAACAAAAGTGTGTAAGCAAAAAAGGAAGGGAATGAAAGAAGTTTAATTATTCCCTATTGAAAGTAGTGACTTTTGACTTGTTTGTTTGGTGAAAGTTATATATGTTGCAAGAAAGCGTGTATGTGCCTTAGTGAACATTTAGATTATAGTGGTCTAGGAAAAAAGATAAAGTGAGTAGTAATAGAGAAAGAAAGTGTGCACGATCTGCATTAAGAATAAGTAGCAGTGACATCACATTGAAGCACTAACGAGACAGTAATAACAACTAGATAAAGTTCAACACTGGCATGACTATAAAGAAAAAAAGTTTATGTATGATAATGTAAGGATCAGAAGTAATAATATATGGTTAGACTTAGGTTTAGCAGTTAATTACCTGTGGAGGACCATTTTCATCAGATTCAAGCCTATATTCATGCATGATCCAATCGGATTTCTGTCCATTAGGTGCTCTTCCTTTGTAGAAAACAAGAGTTTTCCTCATTCCAATTAGTTTCATCTTGTCATAAACTGATTTATCTCTTCCTGTAGCTTTCCAAAATCCAGCCATGGTAGCTCTGTTAGTTCTTGTACCTGTTGGATACTTTTTATCTTTGTGGCTGAAAAAATACCACTCGTTCTGCTCTTCATACCCTATCCTGCATCTATCTGCACCACACAATAATTCTTTCATTACAAACAAAACACAGATCTTGCTATCTTGCTTACTAAAAAGTAAAACCTAGCTAGTCATATATATTAGATCTTCAAAACCCTAATATTTTGTTTGGAAAATAGCATAATATAGTTTGTATAAAAGTATTTGTATGTGTATATGTATATACCTTGAAGATCCCATGGTTCGATACGATAAAGATCGATCTCTCGGATAACATCAAGATCAATTTTCTGAGAAGCAATTTTCTTTCTGAGATAATAACCAACAAGTTCTTCATCAGTTGGGTGGAAACGAAAGCCTGGTGGGACACATGACTCCATGGACTCCATCATATCAAATTATAACTGTTTCTGCATAAAATTCACCACCACACTCACTTGACTTTCTTCATCATGTTTGAATTATAACCAAACAGGATGTGATGTTTGTGAGTGCAAATATCAATATCTATATATATGAGAGAGAGTGAGAGAAAAGGTGACAAGTGTTATGAAAGATAATCATAAGTTCATTTGGTGGTGAGAGCAAGAAATTAAGTATAAGCGCGTGTTATAAAACAAAACCTGATAATTTCAGAAACAATGATGAGGGTTTGGTTTTGATAAGGTAAAAAAACAGATGAAGTTTGGTATAGGGTAGCCCTTGAGTTTGATGAAGCAAGGGTGTACTAGTATATAAGAAATGGACATGTAGAGGGTTGTGCTAATGATGTTGTCTTGTGTTAGTGAATGGTGGTGAAAATTATGATTTATTAACAAACGGGGTTCCCCATTTCACATTACCATTCATTATTATGTATCTATATATCTATATCTATATGTATATTTAATTAGAGATAATATAAAGTGATTAATTAACTTGTTAATGAGATGGATAAAGAAACAAAAACAACTTTTTCAGGTAACAGAATGCATGCTTATATAAAATTGTGAGAGTTAAGAATTGTGATTAGTGACGTAATCATAAAATGTGGCACGCGTTTTGTGGAAAGTGAAAAAGTGAAGGGACAAAAAGAGAGGTGTAGAAGAGAAAAAGAAAAGAGTATAGTATAGTGGTTGTTGAGATGAAGACATTAGGTATAGGGAGAGTGAGAGAGTCTTTGGTTTTTCTGATTGAGGAAACTATAGGACTCTGACTATGTTGTCTTTTTGTCTAGAATTTTCATGTCACATCTCACTTACTCATTCTCTTAACGGACTTTAAGATAAATGTTTATGTTCTGCACTACTTTTATGGTTTAATAAATCCAATATGTGCACTGTGCAGGTGCAGATGCAGATGCAGCATTCATTGGAAAAGACAAAAAAAGATGCATGCATGAGGAACATGAACATGTTAATGGACTTTATAGCTAGTGTTATGAGCTTACCTGAAGACAAGTGTAGTGAAGTGAAGAGAAGAGAAGAGAATGATGAAGGAGGTTTGAGTTGAAGAAGAGAGAGATGAGGAGAGAGAGGGTTGAAGAATTGTGTTAGGAGTGAGAGAGAGGGTTAATTATAAATAATAAAAGAAAGAAAAGAGTAAGGGAGGGAGGAAGGACCGCAGATCAAATTGCGCATGGGTTCATAGTTGTCCCCCCATGTAGTGACGTCATTGCCTAACATTCTCACCTTTTACCTTTTCTTTTTGTTTCTTTAACTTTTCATTTGACAGAATATGTCTAACTTTCATAAGGATTCAATAAACTAAATGGCACACATTTCCATCTAATTCATTCATAACTATAACTGCACGGGAATTACACTAAACACACATGTCTGGGGTTTATGTGGGAGTGATTAAACACATATAATATCAATAAATAAAATGTTCAATTTATCAAAGATGTGAGATTCATATACTTGCTATATTAATATTTGAATGGATAAAAGATGTGAGATTCATATACAATAATCAAAAGATTTTTTTTGGTCATGTGAGAGACTTTAAGTTTTTTTAAGATGTGAGATTCATATACAATAATCAAAAGATTTTTTTTGGTCATGTGAGAGACTTTACATTTTTTTTTTTTAAGAATTTGTGTTTCTCTTTTTCAACTCCAATAATGTGTTATATAGAGGACCTCTAGACTAGGAGAAGCGGTTTATGTCACTTCCTTATAAAAAATGAGGGAGTAATGAAAGACTAGTTCTTTCCCGAACTGTGGGAGAGAAAGTTTTTCGTCTTTGACTGATACTTACATATTGTTGCTGCTTGAACATCTAATGGGAAACATATATTAACCTAGATAGATCTTGAATATTAGTTTGAGTGAGTTAACCTACTATGGAGGGCCAAGCCCACTTCTGAAGACTAAGTTCATATTTGACACTCACACAACCTTCTTGCACTTAGTTTGATTTTGCCATGGATTATATTATCACGAATCATCTCTTTTTAGATTCAATAAAAAATTTCTTCCACAAACCCTCAAGCACGGGGATTTGGAAAGGGAGAAGTTATTTATTTGAGCTCACGACCTGTTAGACAACGACAACTTATTTAGAGAGGGGAGAATAGATACCTAATTCAAATTTCAGTTTTAAAACAGTTTTTAAATGACGTTAAAAATATTGGTTAGCAGAAGTTGTGTCCTAGATCGAAGTCGTCTATGCGCACACGATTATTGGAGCTTGAATATGCATTCAATCAATTCACGTTAAGAAAAGATAATAAGTGGGCAACACATAAAATTCTCAATCAACAATTTGAACACAATCAATTAAGTAACATATTTCCAATGAAACCGAAGGTAAAAACTTACTTAGACAATTAATCGAACACCTAGTGTGCATTTTAATTTTTCAGAAATTCCTTTGAATTTTGTTGATGTTAAAACCTCTTACAATTAAAGTGAATGTAAGAACAACAACAAATTGATTTAAATTTTCAAAGAAAACTTGTATCCTAATCAATTTGCATGATCAAAAGTGTAATAAATTTCTAACAAAATGTAAAATAAATAAAGCGAGAGAGATATAGAGATAGATAGGTAGATAGATAGATAGATAGATAGATAAAGAGAGAGAGAGAGAGAGAGAGAGAGAGAGAGAGAGAGAGAGAGAGAGAGAGAGAGAGAGAGAGAGAGAGAGAGAGAGAGAGAGAGAGAGAGAGAGAGAGAGAGAGAGAGAGAGAGAGAGAGAGAGAGAGAGAGAGAGAGAGAGAGACGAGTATTTGTTAAGGAAGTTCTCCAATCGACCTTGCGATGGCTACGTCTCCCCCCAATTCTGTTTGGAATTGAGACCAATTTCTTACTAATTGCAAAAGTATTTTTATGAGAGAAATGTTGCAATGCACCCCTAAAACACCAATGGTTGATGATGATTCAACAAAAATCCCTTTGGCTTGATGGAGTTAGATCAATCCTCCAATAACTCCAATTGATCCACCGTCTCACGCTACTAAGTTGAAGGAAAACTGTCTTCAATGTTCACTCGGCCGAATCCAATTGCAAGCTTGTTGTCACCCAAGATTACCCGACGCTACTAGGCTTTCAAAAACCACCCCATTCATCAAAGTCTTTACTTGGTCGAATCCAATATTGACACAATCTTATTAAAGATCCTCAAATCTCCACACGATCTTGAGGTAAAAATTCTCGCATTTTTTCTGGATGAAATCCCCTTGATTCTCAACCCCACTCACACAACCCTTGATTCTCAATCCACTTTAACGCTTGCCAGTGAGCCTTTCCAGGATTCGCCATGTACCTGCTTACAAGACTTACTGCATATGCTATATCGGGTCTAGTACAGACCATAGCATACATCAAAGAACCAACTATATTAGCATATGGGATGCTATTCATATAGGTTCTTTCGACATCAGTACTGGGACATTGATCAATACTCAGCTTGAATTGAGGGTTTGTTGGAGTCACAACAGGCTTCGAGTTCGACATACCAAACTTGTCAAGAATCTTTTGTAGGTATGCCTCTTGAGATAAGCATAATTTCGACTGCTTTCTATCTCTTCGAATGTCAATTCCAAGAATCCTAGATGCAGCTCCCAGATCCTTCATGTCGAACTCCTTATTGAGTTCAACCTTCACCCTCATTACATCTTCGACATTGTTGCTTGCTATCAGAATATCATCAACATAAAGCAACAAAATAACAAATGAATTTTCAGGTCGAAATCTGGAGTAAACACAATGGTCGAACTGACTTCTAATGAAACCTATGTGTTTCATGAACTTGTCGAATCTCTTATTCCACTGTCGAGGAGATTGTTTAAGTCCATATAAAGATTTCTTCAGTTTGCACACATAATCTTCTTTCCCCTTTTCGACATACCCTTCAGGTTGCCTCATCAGGATTGTTTCATCTAAGTCACCATACAAGAACGCAGTCTTCACATCCATTTGTTCCAGTTCAAGGTCGAACTGAGCCACCATGGCAAGCAACATTCGGATGGATCTGTGCTTCACAACAGGGGAAAATACATCATTGAAGTCGACACCTTCTTTCTGAGTGAAACCCCTTGCGACTAATCTTGCCTTGTACCTCTTCGACATTACTCCTTCAATTCCTTCCTTAACTTTGAAAATCCACTTACAGCTGACTAACCTTGCCCCAACAGGTTTCTTGATTAGTTCCCAAGTGTGATTATCATGAAGAGATTTCATCTCATCATGCATGGCCTTTAGCCATTCAGTCTTCATTCGACTCCTCATAACTTCCTTATAATCTCTAGGTTCTTCGTCTAGATCTTCACTTGCAGAGATTAAGGCATAAGCTACAAGATCTGCATATCCAAGTCTCTGAGGTGGTTTTATGACTCTTCGTTGCCTATCTCTCGACAATAGGTAGTCATCAACAGTTTCCTCAACATCATCAGAATCTTCTGTTTCATCTTCGACTTCATCTGGGATAAGCATTTCAGCATCAACATGCTCCACCTCAACAGGAATCTCTACCTGTTCCAGTTCTTCGTTAACATCATCAGTTTTCTTGAAAGCCATTTCCGTTTCATTGAAAACTACATCTCGACTGGTGATACACCTCCTGTGACCTGGCTCTAGGCACCATAGCCTATAAGCTTTTACTCCTTCAGGGTATCCCATAAACATGCATTTCAGAGCTCTAGGTTCGACCTTGTCTTGCCTAATGTGAGCATAGGCTACACAGCCAAATACTCTTAGTTTGTCGAGATCTGGTGGATGTCCCGACCAAACTTCTTCAGGTGTCTTCATATCTAACGCTGTCGAAGGACATCTGTTTATCAGATATGCTGCTGTCGAAACAGCCTCAGCCCAAAACACCTTCTTTAATCCCGCACTAGTCAACATGCATCTAACTCTCTCCAAAATAGTTCGATTAAACCTTTCAGCTAAACCATTTTGTTGAGGAGT